ACCATCCCAGAAGCCAGCCCTTTGTGGACCACGTGTTTACGTTCACTGTCTTGGATAACAGGATATGGTTTCGAAACTTTCAGGTAAGCTTTAATGAATTTTTAGTTACACTTCAAAATAATTTAGGACAAACAGTGCCACTATATGTTTAGTTTTTGTAAAAAAAAAAAAAATGGAATTGTCTGAAGATCCATGAAGTAATTGAGTTCCAAATTTTGCTAGGTGCTGTAAAGTATATAGTGAAATGTAAGTTTCTCTTATGAGGTTCCAACCTGGGGCAGGGGTGGGTGGTTAAGACTTAGAAAAACATAATTCTGTAGAAGGCGTTTAATGAGAACTCTTAGATGAGTCACACAGTGACTCAGTCAGAAGGGGAGGTGGTTATGGAAATCTGGAAGAAGGAATTTGGCAGGATAATAATAATAAATCTGCAGAGGGGGGAGAGGTGGAAGAGAACATCAAGACAGACTTTCCGACAGCATATGAAGCACACCGGGCTCTTCCTGTGTTGTTATATTGGATGCCTTGCAGAGCGAGTTGAACACACTCCCTTCTTAACCTCTGAGGGCAGGCGTGCGGGAGTGAACAACAGTGTTAGCGTTCAAAGTTCAGAAGTTGCCTCAGTGGGTAGCCATTCAAAAGGCAATTTGACCCTGTACTGTACTTTTATATACCTTTAATTTCTTTTGAATTATGTTTATAAAGACGACTTATGGATTGATTAAATTTTTAAAGGGTTCCCTATAGTTGTGCTTCAATACATTTTGTTACAGTAGTTGCACTTTTGAAAATTTATTTTAACCGCAGGTTTTCAAGAATCCTGCATTATGAGAAGCAAGATATGAATTGTAACAAATTCAAGCTACTCAATTTTAAAAGGATGCACTGAAAAACCTTGGTATTTCCTCTGACAACTGCCTGTAACTAATCCATTTCAGGAAATACTGATGGTTTGGTACTTTCACTTCCATCTTAATTTTATTTTCAGTTTTTTTAGGCATATTTGAAATGAAGTTATAGCCATTATACCTTTTTGGTAGTATATCTAAACCAAAATGAAATACTTCTTTTTTATTAAAGATCATAGAAGAAGATGCTGCTCTTGTAGAAATAGGACCTCGCTTTGTCTTAAACCTCATAAAGATTTTCCAGGGAAGTTTTGGAGGACCAACTTTGTATGAGAACCCTCACTACCAGTCACCGAACATGGTAAGCTGTTTTTGTTGGTTAGCGGTGTACCGTGTCCCAGAACTCGTCTGGGCGAAAATCATTCTGTCAAGCAATTACTGTTCTGTTAACCGTGAAACTGAATTTTGGTTTTGCAGCATACAGTTTTGCAAATCACTTTTCTTTCTAATGGTTTGGGATTAAGAAAATCGGGTTCATAAGTTAATGTACTTGCCATGTATTAAATGTCTATTCGTACTTCAGAAGCATCTAATTTTTTTTTGTTTTGTTTCTAGCACCGGCGTATTGTAAGATCCATGACAGCTGCAAAATACAAAGAAAAACAGCAGGTTAAAGAGGTGCAGAAACTGAGAAAGAAAGAACCAAAGACGGTTCTTCCGCACGATCCCACTGCAGATGTTTTCATGACGCCTGCCGAGGAGAAGCCGGTAGAGATTCAGTGGGTGAAGCCAGAGCCAAAAGTCGATCTGAACGCAAGAAAGAAAAGGGTTTATAAAAGGCAGAGAAAAATGAAACAGAAGATGAACAGTCGGAATGCAAAATGAATCACTGGATAACTAAAGTTTTCAGTTATTTTATATTTATTTTATATGCAGTGTGTAAATAGTTTCATTATTCAGGACACACCTAATTAGTGTGGCATTTAAAAGGAAAAAAACTGAAAATCTTGTGGCTTTAGTGCTGTTTTTCTAAATAAAATATCGCCAGAACTCACCAATTTCTGTCTTTTCAAAGTTTATTTGGTATTACTAATAATAACTTAAAGGTGTAGTCCTGACCTCTTGGATGACAATTTTTGGTTGAGCAAAGCTGAAGTTTAAACAGATGTATTGGGTCATTATTTGTAAAACAAAGCATCAGGCACTTGGAGAGTGTAGACTTGGAGTGTAGAGTGCGGGCTGACTTGTAGGAAGGGAAGCATCTTCCTGAAGTTTGAGTCCCTGACTCACCAGTTAATGAGGCCTTGGAAAAGCCAACCTCTGATCTGGCTTTCTCACTTCCGAAAAGTAGAATAAAAAGTCTTCAAGTTTTGAGAATCAAATGAGTTATTACATGTGTTGAAAGCATTTTATTTTAGAAGCAATGGGTATACATTACTTATTAAATTGATAGTAAAACAAAGAAAAATGGGGTATTAGTCATAGGGTCCTAGAACATTTGAATTTCTCCCCTTATAAAAGTTACTTGAAGCAAAGAGAGCACTGGCTTCACCATCTTAGAGGGAGATTAGTAAGTGATAGAAGGAGAGTGGGTGCCAGTGGCCGTGAGCAGTTAGGTGGCTGCTGAGGAGATGGACAGATTATATGCATGTATGTATATATAACTATACATATATCTAAACTAATAAAATTGGGTCATGCATGTGGTGTTCTGTCATCCATTTACTTTTACACATTTCCCATGTCCATGTTCTATAATACGGTTAGTAATCGCACAGTATTATACTCCATACTCTAGCTATATAATCAGTGCTTTGTTGCATATTAAATAGTAATATCTTTTTTTTCTTACTATAGGTGCTTGCAGCAAACATTTCTATACATAAATTATTTTGTCCAACTCTTGGAATTTCCTCTAAGTGGAACTCAGGTCAGAGGTTGTGAATACTAAAACATTTTGGTTGTTCCCCTAAATAATATACCTCACCAGGGGTTAGAGCCTTCATTTCCTTGTACCCTTGTCAATGATGAAATGTCAATTGGATAGAAAAAAAAAAACAATTTTTCTTTTGGTTAGGGATTGGTTTTCTTTTGTGACTAATCTTTGTTTTGGGGTGGTGGTGATTTTTTTTACTAGTTTGTAAGAGCTCTTATATAGTAAGGTTATTCTAGGTATCTTTAGTTCACTTGCATTTTAATTTTGCCTTTATTTTAAATGTAGGCAGGATGAACAATTTTTCATTATATTTTATTTTCTCTTAATTTTTTGCTGAGAAAGTACATAATGGGTCTATCTTGAAACAGTCTAATGAGGCTACTTGAAATCTAAATGATGCAGGTAATTCAGGTCAGGTTCTGATATACTTGTATGTGGCCAAGGAAGGCCAAATCTGTTCAGCAGGGGAAAAAGCCATTATTTTAGGCAATTAAATCTGGCCTTGGATGCAAATAACTACATTCAGGATGTTAATTATAGGTTATAAACAACCTGAATCAACAAGTTGTAAGTTTGAAGGCAGTATTTTTTACTTAATCTATTTTGATGTGTGTGCTGTAGTTTTCATGGAATTTCTAAGTTAACTTTGATTATCAGTTCCCACATATATATTCCTGTTCCAAATTACTTCCCTTCCATTTATATAAATGAATGAGAATTCCTCATCTCCTACGTCCATGTTCATTTAGAAGCTAATGTGTTTAATAAGGATGTTTCTTTAGACTGAAATTTATACCCAGTGTGATTGTTAAATTTTCTAGGCAAAAATAGATCCCTTTTCCTCAGGAGAAAAAAAGGCAAGTGTCTCAGGTTATAAGCAAAACCAGATGTAGTTAAAGAAGAAGAAAGTCCTTTGTCACTTTCGTCCCCATGCCCCACCTCCCCATTTCCATTCTCAGATGAGGGAATGTTCACATTTTTCCCCTGCATTTAAACTTCTCAGTTACTATGCATTACCACTTTTCAAAACCTTCCATAGTATCCTCCTCTGGAAAACAGGCAAATGTATGAATTCCAAGTAGAGATTTGGGTGGACCGTGGTGTGTGGAGGAACTGGAGGTGTAGAGTTGGTTGGTTTTGATTGTGCAGGCAGCAGGATGTTCGGGACAAAGGGACACTTCTTAAACCTTGGGTACCCCAACGCTGTGCAACTGATGCGGCAGAGCCAGCCTTTCTCTGACCACACCTGGCTGACAGATAGAAGCGCCTAGCTGATGTGTGTAAACATTACACACCACAGTGAAACGTACTGGTGAGTCGATGTATTTTAATGACAGGATGCTATTTAGACACCTGATCAAATTATTTGGAACAGCTGTCAGATCTTCCATCCTGTAACAGTGTATCTGTGAGATCAAGGAAAATCTGTCATTAAACACTATGCCTTAACTGAATTCTTAACTGAAGCAAATTGGGAAGTGTAGGATGAGAGGCCTCCCCCTTCCGCCTCTCCTTCCCCCCAGGTGCCTTACCTTTGCTTTGCCTTTATCCTGAGCTCCGAGGGCCCTTCTGCCCCTGTAACCTGTTTCCTGAGCTTACGCAGCCTGGCTGCCTCACTTCTACTATCTCTGTAATTTTCTAAATAAGCATTCTCTTACAGTTTGAAAAAAAAGTGATGGGTGGATGGGTCAGCACAATTTCATCCATTCTTTAGTATGTTATATTAAAGTGTTGATATTTTCCTCTTAAATTGAGCCAATTTACTTGCTGTTACTCCTCATACATATTGGTCAGAATGGAAGATATTAGAGATCTCATTAAGTGGCAACTGTAGAGAACTGGAGAGTTAAAAAACTGGTGTTTTTTAATTGTTCAGTCCAACCGAATCCTGCTGGTGATTAGTTGTGCAGGCTCGAGCAAACCACTGGCCTGCTTTGGGCATGAGCTGCCTCCTATGTAAAAATGTGGTTCAGTTGAGAAACTACCAGAACCACAACAAGACGTTTTTCACTATTTTCTGCCACCTGTCAGCCTTCAGGACGGCTGACCAGTTGATGCCATTCCCACCGACCACCCTCTGTGCCCCTCATAATGACAAACACTGTGGCCCCGCCTCCCACCTGCAGCGGGCCCGCCCCTCCCGCCGCGGCCCCGCCTCCTGCCCGCGCGGAGGCCCCGCCCCCCGCTGGGCTTTTTCCGGCGGCGCGGAGTCCACCCTCCTCCCTTGCGGAGTAGCCGCCGCTGGCGCCGCCCCCTCCGCGCATCCGCGTGCCGCAGCCCGCACCGCCTGTCTCCGCCGCGCGCCTCCGCCGCCCCGCGCCGCCGCCGCCGCCGCCGCCGCCGCGCTCGCTGGCTGGCCCAGTGCGGGCGCCCGGCTCCTGCCACAGGCGAGGACCATCGGCGCCACCAGCACTTTGACCCGGGCCTGGGTCCCAGCTCCGCCCCGGGCCCCCGCCCCCAGCCTGGCGGGGCAATGAAGTGTCACTACGAGGTGCTGGGGGTGCGGCGCGATGCCAGCGAGGAGGAGCTCAGGAAGGCCTATCGGAAGCTGGCCCTGAAATGGCACCCGGGTAACTACTCTGCCACCGCCGGGGTCCCTCACAGCCCCCGGCCTCGCGACCTTGTTCACCCCTCTTCCCGGAGGAGCTCCAGGAACCGGGCTGTGCCTCGACTTACCGGCCCTGGAGCTTCCCTTGCCCAGGAAACTGTGCCTGAGACCCCGTCCGGCCCAGTCCCTGGCCAGGTGGCCCCTGTGTGTTCCTCCCAAAGCGCGCCCTCTCCTCCCTGCCCGTCGCTGGGCGCAGCCCTTCACCCCCCGGCTTCGCTCGAGCTCTGGGCACTCTTCTCCTTCCCAGACACCCGCCCACCTCTCCCAAAGGTTCGCGGTTTCCCGCACCGCCGCTGGATTGGGAGAGACAACATTCTCGAAACTTCGCTTGCTCCTCCTACCCTTTCGCGAATCCCGGGAGGCAGGGGGAGAGAGGAGTTCTAAACCCAGTCCTTCCTCCGGCTTGTGCCGGGCTCGCGTCCCCTGCCGCTCCTGTTCCTCGGCTGCCCTTACTGATCGCGGCATCCCCGCCACTTAAGTGTAATCTACGCCCCTGTCTCATTGAAAGTACGGCAGTTACCGGGATCACTCTTCCTTGTGAAGTTTGTATGTTTACTTAGAAGTATTCCTCGTTTGAATGTTTCATTTGATTGTAGTCCAGGCCTGTGTGACTTTTGTGCAATAGTATGCTCTTCCAGACTGGGAAACTGAGGCAAGAGTGGCTTTCCTATGAGCACTGATCAATAAACATGTTTCTAGTCTCCAGTATGTGCAAGTCACTACACTGTAGATTCTGAAATGCTAAGGCAGACCTCAGTCTTGCTGGGAAAACATGCCTTACGCGCATGAAAAGTTAAACACAAGTGCCAGCCAAGGAGCTCAGTGGGATGTAATTGGTGATCGGAGTAATAGAATAATTAGTAATGGCCCGGGAATTCAGGAGGAGAGGGAGTTTTCACTGTGTGCTGAGAGGTGGTGAGGCCTTTCCCTGGCAGAGAAGCCTGGGTTGTGGCTGGATCCTGGGGGCGTGGAATGGGAAAGAGTGAACTTAGCCACAAGGGGCAGAGCACGGGGTGGATGAACTAAAGGCAGCCCAGGGCCCGGCTGGACTGAAGGCAGTGTTTGCTGGAAGTCTGCAAACGTGGGTTGAGAGAAGAGCTGTTGGGAAGGCCGGGGACCCAAAGTCAGAAGGTAAAGAGTGTAGTTGATGGGACAAGGACAGGTAGGGGTTTGTCCCTGGAAGTTGTAATGCTGACTGATCAACAGGAACTCGAAAGACCTGATCAGTATTGGAAGGGGAGAGGTAAATGAGCTGACTGTTCATCACGGCAGGAAGGCAGTAGCTGTGTCCACAGTCAATATATCCAGACAATGTAGAAGCGTTAGAAATCGAGTTAGGAGTTAGAAGAAAGTTAGGAATGCGTGACTTTGTGGGCGGAAAGGTGTGGGGAAGAATATTCATGCTTGCGACCAAACACATATGTAATTTTGGTGACCGCACTGAAACATTTTCGAGGAGTAGTTCCGAGATGAAGTTGTAAAGGGCCTTGAATGTCGGGTTAAGGACTGTGAAGTTGGCGTTTGCAGTAATGCAGGGCTGAGGCTGGTTTCATTCAGATGCCCTTGGAAGGAACGGTGAAGGCAGCTGAGAAGACTGACGAGGGGCGGAGACGGAAGTCGGACAGAGTCCGCCTGGGAAGGTGGGGGCCCGGGAAGGTAGGGGCCCGGAAGGTAGGGGCCCGGGCCAGGCTTGGGGTCAGCGGGAGGGGCAAGGCTGGGTCAAAGAGATGTTGTAAAGGGAAAATGACCACATTTGGTAATTTGGTGATGGACTGGAAATCGGTGCAAGGGAGAAATACACAAATATTACTAAAATATCAGTTAACTACTTTGAAACCAAACCTGTTAGTAACTTAATGTGAGTATTTTCTCTGAATGCCATAGTCCATAGCATCCTAAACATCTTTTGGTTTGGAGATGCTTGTACATTTAAGGGGTAAGCACTCTCCGAGGAGATGCATGGTTTTGATACGCTTTCCTGGCTCATTGGCTTGTTCGTCTGTCATTCAACAAGTGTTCGATTTCATGTGCGAGGTGCTATGTTAGATGTTTCTGAGGTTAACCTATGGGCTTGGCTTCCAAGAAGAATGTGTAGCTCAGATAGAAAGGTTGCCCATGTTTCATTGTAGAAAAACAAAAGAAAATACCTTTATTTCTTTTTTTGAGGACCTGAGAATAATTCCCAGTAGGCTCAACAGTACTGCCTACGGAGATCACACCAGCCTCAGTACCGCATCTGACGACTCTTCCCCAGGCCCTTGACTCTGTGGACGTGCCCGGCCTGGTCCCTGCCCTGCCTGGTCCCTGCCCTGCTGGCACACGCAGCCTTTGGGGTGACACTGAGAGGGGACAGGCTACTTTAGGCCGGTGAGATGAGGGCAAACAGAAGGTGCTTATGAGCACGTACACCCAACGTGGATTGGGCTCATTTGTGAGGGGGGTAGGTGTGTATCCCTAGAAATGACATCTAGGTCGAGACCTCGGTGGGATACAGAGCATTCGGGTGGAGGGAGGCAAGAGAAAGCAGGGCAGGGTCCAGGAAGGGGAGGGAGGTGAGCATGGCTAGGCTGGGAGGAGCTGGGTTTTGGAGGTCCTGCTGAACTGGATTGGGTAGGTTGGATTTGACCCGAGGGCACCGGGAAGCCAGTGAAGAGCTGGAAGCAGGCGAGATGGCCGTAGTGGGGAGAGTGGATCGGAGCAGGCAAGACTGGTGGTGGGGAGACCGGGAGGTCAAGAATAAATCATATGGGCTTTCCACTTTTAAAATGAATGCTTTTTCACTTCTTGCTCTCATGCTTTTAGATCTCAGTTCAATCTTTTAGTCAACCAGGTCAAGTATATTTAAGTGAAATAAAAAGCCATACGACCGATTGGAAAAATTATCTCAGAAAGAAGCTTCCGTAAGAGATTAGATCTTATTTTCAGGTGGTACGTTGGTGGGTTTTGTATGTTCAGAGCTTTAGCTTTATTCCAGCTTCTCGGGGAGGACGGAAGGGGGTGGACGACCCGGGACAACAAAGCGCAGTGCTGATGAAAGGGAGAAGCCGCACCACCCTCCCCACCCCAGACGGCTCCTGTTTCATTTGCTGGCGTTTCTGCCATTCTGCTTTCATCCGAATGGTGCTTCTTAACTTACCCAACAAAGTTTCTGTTAGAGTTGGTGCAGACATCGAAATCATGGCTTTTTGCTTGCATTCTCACCTTCAAGACATGTGAGGATTGTGTTTAATCTGCCTATGACAGGGAGCTGGCCATAGTGGCCCCCAAAGTCACTCTACTACCCTGCACAGTATGACATCCGGGGGGCCTGTCTTGGCCGCCACTTGATGGGAGCTTCAAAGAGCTGCTCCATCATCCTGGTCCTTGCACCAAGTGGAAGCCCTTTAGCCTCAAAAATAAGGTGTTTGTCATTTGAGGGGGGGGCTCCACTCACAGAGCCCCCTTGACTGCCATGCATGAGAATAAGTCTACCAAGACATGATCTGCTTGGGGAGGAAAGGTGGCCGATCTCTCAAAGGAGAAGGGCCAGGGGCCTTTTACTCAGTGGGCTTTTATTGGGTTCAGTTTGCACAGGAATACAGGTAAAGCTCATCAATCATTGTGAAGCAGTAAGGATCAAACGATAGATAATACACTGAGAACTCTGAGGGCTTATTCTGAGTCAGGGTCAGTTAGCTAAAGAGCTATAAAACTTTGGAAAACAAACTCATTTCATGCTTGGACCCTTACCAGAAAATTGAGGACATTTTTACCAAAGCAGGTTTCACAGGATTTTATGCATTTATTCCTAAGCCTGATCGCCTAGGGGAACCCACCCTTTCCAGCACAGGACTTACCGCCCTCTGTCATTGTTTCAGGTTTAAGTCTGGCAGGGCAAGTAAGGCAGCCAAGAGATTAGGAGACTTCTAGCAGACAGAATCAGGACTCAGGCTATGTCAAAGCCAAGGAGTGAGGGCCCATCACCTCCTTTTTCTATAGCCCCCCAAGTCCTTTCCTGGGGGGTCCCTTTGTGACCATGCCTGTCTTAGGTCGTCCCTCCGTTGAGGAATCTTACCCGTCATTGGCTAACTGGTCAAGCTCGGGGCAAGCAGGGTGAGGTAAAGGGGACAGAGGCAGTGCCCCTGCCAGGGAGATAAGCTTTGTCTCCTTAGTGGCTTATGATCCCAAGGTCTCTTACTCAGCCTTAGCCATGGGGGAGGTTATAGGTTCTGACACCAGGCAGGGCGGTTCCCAACAGTCACTTATTTACTTTTTGTATTTTATCTGTTATTTATCTTTATTTTTTTATTTTATGTTTATTTTTATCTGTTTATTTGAAGAGAGATGTTTACTGCTCTCTGGCGAGGAGGTGTGGAGGCAGGCAGGTGCGCCCCAGCGCAGCGGGCCTCCCCCGGGAGCGCCGTCCGCATGCTGCTCAGCATCTCTGGGACAGGGGACGGGCACTCTCTCTCCTCGTTCAGGCGGGGGCTGGGGATCCCAGGCTGCAGAGTGGAACGGGTTGGCGGGGGGGTGGGGGGAGGAGAAGTAGAGATAGGTTGTGTGCCACTTGCCTTTTAAGGAAGATTCTTGAAAAGCTGTCATAGAACAGTTTTATGGCTTAGTCACACAGTCATGCCTCAGCTTCACAGCAGACCTGGAGATGGAGTCTGTTCTGGTACCAGGTGCCTGCCCTGGACTAGGGTTCAGTTATCACTGGGAAAGGAGGTGGACTGGCCATCTCTCCCTCAGGCCCACAGTCCACCTGCAGGCATTGTAATGCCCTGGCTTTGGGCTGGACACAGGGGACGGGTTAAGTGCCTACGATGAGTGCCACTAAAGCCTGTCCCTTTCGTCTGGAAAACAAAGCCTTTCCTGGGGACTGTCACTTAATGGGCATGTGTTTACATCTGATTGGCTGAGATGGGTCACCTGACAGCCCAACTTCAGGGAGGTCTGGGGAGGGGAGTTTTTAACTGGGTACCCTGCTGCTGGGAACAGGGTCAGGGTTTTGTGAGGAAGAAGAGAGGAGCTGCTGGGTGGGTGACTGGTGGTATTAGTAGTGTCTGTCACAGAGTGGCAATCAAAATCCGAAATAATGACAGTAGGGCACTGAGTGACCTCTGTTACCTAGAACCCAATTGTCAGAGGACACAACAACATGGAATTTGGGAATATTAATTAGAAATAACAGAAAACCTAATCACAATGGCTCAAATTAAGAGTTTGTTTTTGTTTTGTTTTGTTCCCCCCTCCACCCACCACAAGTGGGCTTGGAGGAGGTGCCACTGGTACTGTCTCAGTAACGTCGCTGTGAACCCCGTGGCTTTTCCTTCATGGGCTCAAGGTGGCTGCTGAACCTCCAGCAGTTACATCCACATACTAGACAAGAAGAAAGAAGAGGGAAAGGAAATACACTACTAGACTTCATCTCATTGGTTGGAACTTGTCACATGGCTGTTCCTAGCAGCAAGGGAGGCTGGATAAAGTAAAATCCTTGCTTATCCAGCCTCCCTAGTAAAGGCTGTAAGAGAAAAAGGGCAGGGGTGCTGGATGATCTAAACATTAGTGTCTGCCACAACGTGGAATAGGTCCATTGTATAGTCACCGATTGGCTTGTGAGCAGTTTGAAAAGCACTGAAAACCTTGTCAGCTATAATTTCAGAATGCCTTTATGTCATGTTGTTGCTAAACGCTAACGTGATTGGCTAGGACGATTAAACTAGAGCGGTGAGAAAAGGAAATAAGGAATGCTGCCTGCCTTTGACCACATGTGAAGTAGCGGTGCGCCGTCGGAGGTGGGCGTGTGTGGTCCAGAGCAGAGGCGGGCCGGGAGGTGGCCGCTGGCTGGCCTCCGATGGGCTGCGCTGCGGAAGTGGATTTAGACTGGCCTTCCCTTACTTCTCGCAGACACCTAGGCTGCAGGGATGGAGATTGTTGTCCTCCTCTTGGTTTGAAGGGACCACGACTCCGAAATAATGCTGAGAGTGTTTTTGTGTTAGAGCATCTTAGCAAAAGGTGCCAGGGTGAACTGCTGCACTTGCGAAAGCACCGTCACCGTCAGCTGTTGCTTGGAAGACCACCCGATGGCGTTGGGACCCGTGCAGGGGACGGACCCACCAGCGGGAGGCAGGGTGCCCTCGAGGGCCCTGTTCTAAGGCTGCTGAGGGGTTTCCGCGTGGATGTCCCAACTGGGTGCTCAGGGAGGGCCCCAGGCTCAGGAACAGGCACAAACTTTCTCCCTGACTAGATCCGTGCGTCCTGACGCCCGCCGGTCATCCAGCGTCTCTTGGCTCTTCGCTGGTCGTTTTTCTTTGTTCTGCACACTCCTCATCTGCTTATGGCACTTGGGACGGGCAAGGTCCCTTTTGGGTTTTGTCCTGCACCAAAATGTTTTGATGACTAAATTTCTGTGGCTTTGTTTCGACAGATAAAAATCTGGACAATGCCGTGGAAGCAGCTGAACAATTTAAATTAATCCAAGCAGCATACGATGTGTTGAGCGACCCCCAGGAACGAGCATGGTGAGTGTCATGCTGTCCCCCATCCCAGCGCAGTTTCTTGGGAAGAACTGTCAGAGGGTTTAAGAAAATGATACTTGAATGGTGTTTGGTGTGTTCTGAGGCTCTGTTACCTACTTGTGACATAAAATGCAGTATTTGGGTGGGAGGGAGCCTTAGAGATGATGAGCCCAGTTCCCTGGTTTTGTAGCTGGTGAAACAGCTCGGCAAGGGTAGGTAGTTTTCACTTCGATACTTACGAAGTGACTTACGATACTTACTTCGTAAGTATCGGAAGTGACTTCTCATCTAGTGGTCCTCTTTGGTGTATGACAGATTTTCTCATGTCAGACAAGGAAGAAAATTGACTGTCCTTAAAAAGCAGATACAGTGTTTTAATACAAGAATGGTGATATTTTCCCTACAATTGCTTTATATGAAGAAATTGAGTTAAGCTTCTACATCTGTGACAAGTACTTTTACTAGTGCTGAGCTGGTGATTCAATATCATTTCAAAATAATTAGTTTGTTGAGAGTTGGGAGTTTGCAGAGTCTTGATGGACTTTTTGCTACAAGGAAACAGGTTCTAAGCCCTGACGTAACTGCAGGACCGTGCTGTTCCCTGCTAGAGCAGGCGGGGGCTCGAGCTGCTCCGCACGTCTCCCGTGGGTGGGCTGCCAAGGGAGGAAGGCTGCAAAGAAAGTTCTTACCAAATCGTCTTTTACGTGGAAGCCAGAGAGACTCCTAAATTTCTCTCCTCCCAAGGAACTTGGAGATCTGGCCTCAGAAATGCTTTTTGTCTTCCTTTGGGAACTTTGAGATTCTTGACTGACTTTCTTTGCTCCAGCTTCTTCTCTAGGTGGTAGGTTGTTTTCTGGTCCCGATGCTTCTCTCGTCTCCCCTGTAAGGCCCTGCCTGTGAGTGCGGCTGTCATCTGGTGGCAGCGGTGTGGCCGGCGGGAGGGGGCAGAGCCCTGCCAGGGCTGGGAGGCCTGGTTTGCCGCTCCAGCTGTGCCGCTCGCTGGCTGTGGGCAGCACGTTGCGTAATGTCACCGAGCCTCACCTTCCTGTTACATGTCGAACAGCAACAACAACTAACTTTGCAGAGTTGTTCAGGGGGTGGTCAGGTGTACATGAAGCTACTGGATTGCTTCTATAGACATAGCAAGAGTCTTATTTGGTACGTGTTGGTAAATTCTTAGATCCCAAATGTGTGATTAGTCTGTGGACACGGTTATGTCCACTGCCATCCTGTTCAGTGATGTTTCTTTCCTGTGAAAATGCAGGTACCTTCCCGGGACAGTCCTGGGTGTTCCCTGGCTGATTCCGTTCCCTTGCTCATGTGGGCTCATGCTGTATAACGCCTGTGGTGTATCAGAAGTTGTCATAGTTTTTCATCAGCAAGTTTGTGAGAGATTGTCTTTTTGTGTTGATTTTTATTTTGTTAAAACTTTTTGGTTGTGGGTTGGACACATTAAGATGTGCAATAACAAACAGCATCTCAGCTGTTTCAGAGTAGGAAGGGCTTCCGAAATCTTCCGTATTGGGCCTCACGGGTGATGCTCATTGTTTCGTCTGCGCAGGTACGATAACCACAGGGAGGCCCTGCTCAGAGGTGGGCCTGACGGCGAATACCAAGATGAGAGCCTAGATTTGCTTCACTATTTCACCGTTACCTGTTACTCTGGATATGGGGATGATCCCAAGGTAAGGGATGGATTCTCTGGTCATTTCTTACCAGGCACGTAAGGAAGACTCAGATACACAGAGAATTCCATAGTAGAATGTGAAACAGTGTTCATTTATGAAAACTAAAAAAAAAAAAATTGCCTTCGTGCTTAAACTAGGAGCACATTTTTAAAAACCTGTCATTGAAACCCACCTGCACTCACAGTGACAGAGCTCGGGGCTGTATGTAACTCCTTATCAGAAAAGGGTCTCATGTTGCATTTTGGAAATCTGATTCTGTGATTAGACTACAAAGTGTTAAGAGTTTGCGTGTCTCATACATGTTCTTTAGGGCTTTTACACGGTGTATCGTAACGTTTTTGAGACGATCGCGAAGGAAGAACTGGAGTCGGCGCTGGAAGAGGACGCGGAGGACTTCCCGGCCTTCGGAGACTCTCAGAGCGACTACGACACGGTGAGCAGGCGCTCGGCCCTCGTGCACGTGGCCTTGAGCAGTGTGTCTTTCCCCGCTTTCTTACTTAAAACGTGGATTTGTGTTCTCAGTCCCATCCTGGGACTTTCTTCCTCTCTCTTCCTTCCTCTCTGACTTTTCCCTTCTTGCTGACCACGGTCCCATCCCATTAATCGCCTTGTTAAATTCCTACCGAAGAGCGATTTATTTTGTGGAAGCCTGTCTCCTCCTCCCTTGATTCATAGTAGTGTTTTATACGCAAAGGACAAAACATGTTTTGCATCACGAACAGTGGCTGCCTTACTTAAAAAAAAAAAGCCTAACGAAAACACACTAGCATGTCACCTGTTGTCCGCGTCACTAGGTGGTCCACCCTTTCTACGCGTACTGGCAGAGCTTCTGCACGCAGAAGAGCTTTGCCTGGAAAGAGGAGTACGACACCCGACAGGCTTCCAACCGCTGGGAGAAGCGCGCCATGGAGAAGGAGAACAAGAAGACGCGCGACAAAGCCAGGAAAGAGCAGAACGAGCTCGTGCGGCAGCTGGTGGCTTTCGTGCGCAAACGGGACAAAAGGGTGCAGGCTCACCGCAAGCTGGTGGAGGAGCAGAACGCGGAGAAGGCGAGGAAGGCCGAGGAGATGAGGCGGCAGCAGCAGCTGAAGCAGGCCAAGTAGGTGACGCGGGGCCGGCCTCTCCAGACCCGGGCCTGGGCTCCGAGGAGGAGGCGTCAGTGGCGCGCCCTGACGTGGTGCTGTGGGGTCGGGTGGAATCCTCGCCCTGGCTTCATCTTTTTAAAAAAATCCAAAATCCTGACATTGTACAGTGGTTTTTCATCTCCTGTGTGTGTGGGGGGGATTGTTTTTGAATTGGATTTTTTTCTTGAGGGCATTCATACTGGAGATCCTTTACAGACCCTGTAGAATGTGATAGTAGTTCACGGTGACCGAGTTCTCACTCTGGACAGGGCTGCGCTCAGTGCCTTTCTCACCGAGGTTCTAGAAGTAAGTGCTGGTTCTCGTCCTCGCTCTCTGTGAGGAAGCGAGGCAGACAGGCCTGAGATCACGTGGCTAGTCAGTTGCAGAGATGGGACTTGAACCTGGGAAGTCAGCCCAGTGCCCTTGCTTTTAACCACCACACAGAACTGCCTCTTTGTCAGTATATAGTGTGTACTCTGGGCCTTGTAGGTCATCTTGATGCCTTTAAACTTTTGTTGTTGTTTTTTTTTATAGCTACTGTAAAAGCATTGTGCCTAGAGCATTATATGTAGCATTCTTTAAAAATCTGCTTAAAAGTTCTATCTGTCCCACCCCTCATCTTTTGAAAATTATCACTTGACACTTATGACTTAAAATTACTTGAACACTTTTAATAAGTGGCTAAGAGTTTCATGTTTCAAAACCCATTCATTCTCTAGTCAAGCAGTTAAAGTCACCACAACAGTGAGCAGGTGTAAAGTGGCTGCCCCTTTCCACTGAGCGCAGCAGGTGTTAAGGTTGTGAGCTTTGAGAGCCCGGGAGGGAGCCGCTCTCTGGGGGACGGACCCTGGGCCTGGGAGTCGGGCGCCCCCGTGCGGAGCCCGTGCTGTCTGTGTCTAGGCTGGCAGAGCAGTACAAGGAGCAGAGCTGGATGACGGTGGCCGACCTGGAGAAGGAGCTGCAGGCGATGGAGGCGCAGTACGAGAAGGAGTTCGGAGACGGCTCCGACGAGGACGAAGTGGAGGAGTGCGAGCTCAAAGACGGACAGGATGGTAACTTCTTCCGTTCGTTAAGAGACTTGAGGAAGTGTTTTACGCACGGGGGTGCACTGAAGACGCTCACAGGTGCTGGTGACGGGACAGGGCGGTGACCCAGGAGGGTGGAGGGAAACCCAGGGAAGACCCGGGTTCCGGCCGGCCGCTGCCAGGCCCGGTGCTGCCAGAGTTCACGTGCTTGTTTGTTTGGTTTTTAAATGAAGCCGGGAATCTGGATTTTTTTTTCATCCTCAACCTGAGGACATTTTTTTATTGCTTTTTGGACAGAGAGATAGGGAGAAAGAGAAACTTCCACTGAGAGAGAAACAGCAGTTCGTTTCCTTCTCATACATGCCCTGACGGGGGGTTGAACTTGCAACCTGGATACGTGCCCTGACCCAGAATCACACCCACGACGTTTTGGTCCATAGAACGATTCCCTGAGCAACGGAGACCGGGGCTGGGAATCTAGATCTTCATGTGCCGTCTCCCAGTTTTTAAATTTGTAGATAATGAAATTGAAAAACCATATTGTATGGGCCAAGGAAAGGTAGCCTGTCGAGGTAGTCTGATTCTGGTCACTGGATCAACACACTTTTTTCTGATCACGTTTTTAACAGTTTGTGCTTCTGGCTGCATAAGTATATTGACACATGGGCATACTGACAGGTACGACCGATGGGTTCTTTCTAGAACTGCAGTTAAGTGGCCGGTCAAGGGTTAGTGGCTCTTCCCAGAGACCTGCTGTCGCTCGGGAGCCTGTGGGTGCCCGCGAACCCTGCCGCTCGGCCCCGACTCCCCGACTCCGAAGGGCCCCCGGTGTGCGGGGACCCTCACTGCCGTGCTGCTTCAGAGACAGACCAGACGACAGCGCGACAGGCTTTTGTTCATCCTGAGTGATTAGCAAGTGAAGTTTTATATTGACGAATAAGAAGTAGTGTGCGTGAAAGTGATTTGAAAATTATGAAGCACTTCCTAAATGTGAGGTGGTGTAATTATGTAGAGTTTTACAGTTTATAAAGTGCTTTTACGTGCAAGATCTTGCTTAATCTTCTGGGAATAGCCCTTAAATGTGTACTTCGCTCATAGCATTGGGTACATTTCACTGATGAAGAAACTGAGACTCCGAGAAGCTGTATCACACCTGAGAGTGTGTGGCCATTTTTAGATTCCTATTTTGGCTTTAAATCCAGCATTCTTTATTAACTGTTCTTTGATTAATCAAAGTTTATTTCATGTATATAGTATATTGAAAGTATACACGTAATTGGAAAATAATGTCGTATACTAAGCATTGGATGTATTTTGATCATCTATAATTTTAATGAGAATGTCTTTCAGAGTCATGTCAACATCACTTACTACAAAGAAGCGTTCTGTAGAATACAGAAGAGCTGCCTTGAGATGTGTATTGGCCCCATAACAAATCCCCAATGGCCATCAGTATACTTTTTTATTTCTTACAAATATGGGGATGTGGTACTATGCAAAGACTTTATTGTGCTTTTTAGTTGCTTAAATTTTTGGACTAGACTGATAGTGATTATTCCATTGTAATGAATCTTCAGGCTTATAAAAAAAAATCTGTAAAGGCAATGTTAAACTTTACATGTAATATGCTATTTTACAACCTAATAGTGATGGAGTGTTGTGAGCTAAGTTTGTTTAAGCATTTAAGAGTAGATTGCAGTTCCAAATCTATTTGTAGAGGCAAACTGAAAAAAACCTTGTGGTGGAATTGTGATAGTGACATTTGATTTTCTGAACTTAGTTCACTCGCAGGGTTTTGAGAATTGTCTCCTAAGTAGACTTAATGAAAAGAACTTGAAAGGGAAAATGATTTATTTACCTTCTATAATTTAGTGCTGCTTTTCAAGGGTCAACTCAAATCCTGATAACATTGGGGTTTCTGGGTAAAGAAGTAAATATTTTATTTCCAGTCTGTGTGCACTTTTAGATCTGTGCTCAGCAGATGCAGTTTGTTAGCGTGTTTTGGTCTGTGCTCTCGTTAAACACGCTTCTTGCTGTGGCGTCCTTCTCGCAGGCAGAGACAGCGATGAGGCCGAGGACGCAGAGCTCTATGAAGAGCTGTACTGCCCAGCCTGCGATAAGTCTTTCAAGACGGAAAAGGCGTAAGTTTCATACCTTCGCACTCTCCTGTTCTTTTGATGCGAAGTGTAACGCTTTGAAAGCCCCCAAAAGAAAATGCTTTTGGGAGCTGCTCACTGGCTCTCACGTGTCATTTGGGGGGATTTCTGTCCAGCGGCGGAGGGGGAATAGTCTGTACCAGCGATTAAGCCTGCTGAGCGGATTCTCAGTCCCGCCAGTATTCCTGTGGAGTAGTTGCTTTGTGAACACGCATGCGGTCTTCAGACAGAAAGGCCGCTTCCCCCACTCCCCCCACCCCCCGTGGCGGGCAGGCCAGACCAGCGCTCATGGTCTCGCTCTGTTGCTGGTGGCAGACTCACTGCCCGCCACCACACTCCCACCCAAGGCCGTTGCTGCCAACCCGGGCACCTTGAACGTGTCCTGCTGCAGGACCTCTGTGCTGAAGTGGAGGGACTTCATCTGATGGGAACAGTGGGGAGGAGAAGTGTTAAATGGACACTGTTACAAAGAGTGTAAAGGTCATGGGGGAAAATGCAGGATCAACAGGGGAAAAGGAGCCGAACACGCGCAGTAGAGAGAAAAGGAGAAAATGAGGGGCGGGGGTCGGAAATGGCCCTCCTGGATGACCCCACGGGAGAAGGCACGGAGCAATGAGAGCGTGGGGGAGGTGCGGAGGTTGGAAACAAGCGAGGAAACGAAAGCCACAGTGGAGGAGATTTTTAAATTACTGTTTGTTTGAAAAGAACGTCATATGTCCAGGCAGGTGGCAAGAATGAACAGAGTGCCCGGTCCGCCCGTCGCTCAGGGTTTCCCCACTGGCGTGTGCTCCGTCCCTCCTGCCACACTCACAGTTTGCCTGGATAACTGAGAGTGACGTAGGTAACGCTCCGTCACCTGTAAATACAGGACTTCAGTATATGTCCTTTGAGAGTAGGGCGCTGCCTTACAACAACCCGAGTGCGGCTGTCACCTGGGGGGAACAGTAACCCGTGCGTGGTGCTCACCTCCCTCACGGCCCGTTTCCCGCTCGCGTCACATGATTCTGCATTCACGTCCCGTGCGGCGTCTCCCTCACCCCGATGCAGGTCCGGTCTCGGGGCAGGTCCTGCACTGGTGGTCTGGTTAATCTGGACCAGTTCTGTGTCTGTGCCATGGGTGTGCCAGCACACTGGCCCTTTACATTTTTCTAGTAGGGTTTTTCTCACTGTGGCTTTGTGTCCTCGTGATCGGGGTCAGGTTTGGCACGCCCAGCCGAGATGCCGCCTAAACGTGCTGCTCTCGGGGTCTCCCACGGGGAGGCACATGCGTGGGTGCGCCCCTCACTGGTGGCGATTGCTTTGTTCTCCCAGCCCAGGGGCTGTCCACTTTGCTCCTGCAAAGTGAGCGTTTTTTCCTACAACAGTTTTTTCTTCCAGCGTGTTTCCCCTGTGGGGAGACACTTCAAAACTGTGCGGACATCTAGTCCTCATCAGAAGCTCCTTCCTAGGTTCAGCGCCCACCGAGGACCGCGGCTGGCACTGTCCTCACGGTGACCAGGCGGTGGCAGCCCGGCGCTCCCACGGCGGCAGCCCTCCCCCCGCTTCCTGCTGTGCATGGGAGCCCCCCCCCGCCCCGCCATCTCCCCGCTGACCAGTCAGTGGTCAGTCTGAACTTACGGGCTTTCTTCAGTGTTTCGTAATTCATCAGTGCCCTTTCCATGCGCAAGTCTTTGCAGCAGTGGTCAGTGCACGTTCCTTCAGCTGGCTCCCGTGGCCTTTTGACGTGTCCCGGTCACATTTGTGAGCACTTACTTAGTGGCACAGGATGTTCCAATTTCTCTGAGGATCCTCGATCTGAAGGAGAATGTGAGTGGCCAAGGAAGTAGCAACCCGAACTAGAAAAAAAAATTTGAGCAGACCCAGTGAAGCTGGCAGACACACAGGCTCCCGCCGTCTGGTGGGTCTCACCTTGCACCCGACGCGGAGTCCGCTCTGTTCCGTGCGGTGCCGCCCAGCGGCCGGGGGAGCACGGAGCTCCGCAGGGCAGAGCGGTGTCTGAGCTCACTCTTGCAGCGCTGGGAGTGGGAAGGGAGGCCCCTCCTGGGGCGGGGAAAGACACCTGTCAGAAGAAGTAAGAAGAGGTGAACTACTCTCGTTCAATACATCAGGGCCGCACGTTGCCACCTCTCAGACGCGGGGTGTCTGTCTTCCCAGGAGAGTCAGAAGGTGGTTTTGTGGTTTCCCAGTGACCCTGCCAGGCCCGTGGCAGGGCTGGAATGCGTAGACACTTAGCGAGTAATTAGTGATGAAGAGAAAACAGCGGAGAAGCCCCGAATTTTAGGACCTGGACAATAAAATCAGTAGTGAATTTGAGGGGAACAAGTGGGAGAACACATGCAGGCGCCAGGACAGAAGGAGGGGAGAGCACGGGTGCAGGAGACAGAATGGAGTGGGGGGCCCGGGCCCCAGGGGCCCAGAGCTCCCGGCAGGTGGTCCTGTCTCTCTGGAGCGTCCCTGACGTGGCGCTGCGTTCACGTTCGCCAGGAGGCAGTGTCTCGGACTTGGTCGCACTTGTCCAGCAGCGCTTCTGGGCACCTGGGATGTAATGCTGTTGTGGTCACTCATGTCGGGTTGTTCTTTCAGCATGCGGAATCACGAGAAGTCCAAGAAGCACCGGGAGATGGTTGCCTTGTTAAAACAACAGTTGGAGAAGGAGGAAGAGCATTTTTCAGGGCCTCAGACGGATGAAAACCTGTTGAATGCTAATTCTGAGGAAGAAATGGAGGATGCACCAAAGCAAAAGTACTTCTAACAATGTCGTATTTATTCTCACATGTTTAAACTCAGTCACCTTCCAAGTGCTCTCCATCTGGTGTAATAGACCTGCTGAGATGTTTTTTTCCACTGCTCGAAACAGTTGTTGAACTTGTCGGTTTTAATGCCTTTTAGTGCTTCTGCCATTTTTTGTTTCACCTCTTCCACATCGGCAACATGGTTCCCTTTGGGGGCTTTTCTCATTCGGGGGAACAGAAGGAAGTCGCTCGGGTGAAGTCAGGTGAATAGGGAGGGTGGGGCACGGGGATCCTGCCATTTTCTGGTCAAAAGCCGCTGACCACTCAGCAGGTGTGAGTAGGTGTTCTCACACATTAACCATCATGCAATGGGCGAACACCGTGAAAGAGTCTTCAAAAAAATTTCACTGGAGCTGAACGCAGCCTCTCACGACAATGCCAGTGGGTCCACTGACACAGACGGGTTCCTAGAGTGCCCACCTAGTGGGGGAACACCTGTACTACAAGGGGCCCGCCCTCCAGAAGGTAGTTCCAGGGGGTTTTTTTGGGTCCCCCCTCGTACTTACCGCCACACTGAGAGATTACATTTAAATGCTGTTTTATCTCAAAGAAATTACTGTATTATGCTCATTTTCTGCATTTCTTCTAGTTAAAGGGGACTTAATAGTACTGAAATGGGTCAAGACATGTCAAATGTGATTTTTACAGATACTACAACTATATTAAAAGAGTTCTGTACCTAGGTAATTGATGTGCTAATTACATCAGTTGAACCACTTAAAATTTTCTAAGGTGATAATATCAACATTTTCTTTTCATTTTAATGCTTTATGACTTATATAATTTTAATATTTTACTTCTCTCTGTATCAGTAGTATTTTATTAGTATTTTTCTTTTAACTACGTAAGTCTTCACAGAGTCAAGTAGTTGAGCTTTGACTTCTGTTTGTTCGTAGGCTTTCTAAGAAACAGAAGAAAAAGAAACAGAAACCAGCACAGGTATGTTAAAATTTTATTATCGTGAAATACCAAGTATAGAGTTGTAGTGCCTGTTTATTCAGTACGATCTCCCTTAAGGAGAGGGACTTCTGCTCTGATTTTATGATGATTGTGAAACAGTTACAAGGAGTTGAGAATATCTTCTTTTTTTTATCCCCCGTATGTATATGTAGCTAATTTATTATTTATTTATTTTTAACCATCTTATTTATTTATTTATTGTGGGGGAGAGGAGAAGGGAGGGGGTAAGAGAAGGAGAGGAACGTCAGTGTGCGAGAGAGACACCGACCAGCTGCTCCCGCGTGCCTGCAGCTGGGCACCAGGTCCTCAGCCCCGGCTTGTGCCCTGACCCGGAATCGAACCACAGACCTTTCAGCTTGTGGCGTGACACCCAGCCTACTGGGCCACACCTGTCAGGGCTGTAGCTAATTGATTTAATTACTGTTGCCAGTGTTTTTAAAACTTTGGCGTGTGGAATTCCCCTGATACAAATTAGCTGAGCGGCCACATTAAATGTCTGGATATACGGCATCGCAGGACTGATCGCTATGAAGTCAAGTTTGCTCTGCCCTCAGCAGAGTTGAAGTTTTACACGGGGAATATGTGGTTAGAAACTCACGATGACTGTGACTACTGAAAGAATGCTTGTTGGTGTTACTCAGAAATTTAAGTAGTTTAAATACTTCATACCTGGCGTCCAAATTCAGGAATTACAGCCCTCCCTCAGTATCTGCGGGACGTTGGTTCCAGGACCCCTGGGTGCTCGGGCCCCTCCCACAGAGGGGCATGGGAGAGAGCGCGCAGTGTGCCCTGCACGTCTCCAGGCTCCCATCCGTGGGCAAGTCCACGGGCATAAAACCTGCGGACTCAGGGGGCCGGCTGTGCTTTTAAATAAAAAGGCATTGTGTCGACACATGTGACTCAATCTTATGGATGTTTTTGAACCTGTAAAAACAAAATGAACTTGTCCGTTTTATTGAGGATATTTTGTGGATCTAAGGGGAATGAAATTGATTTCCATGCCATTTCCATATAATCTAATTATGTTAGCTTGTAGTATTAAATGTTACAGTTTCTTAATAACTGAAAATGTTTTCAAGAAAACCTAGGTAATGCACTAATAATTTTTTCATAGAACTTTAGATTTGGTTTATTTATAGAAATGGTTATAATACATTTGATAATCTTACCTGTTCTACATTCCAAAAATGATTTGTGACTCCAGTTAATCACTGTTAACGTGGAGACTTGGAACTTCTTGCTTCAGTTATAAAACCACATGCTGCAATTGTGCATAACTCGTATTATTATAGTGTTTATTTTGTAATGCATGCATGTTTATTAACCTAGGATTGCGATGTTAATTTCAATGAAAATGAAACTGGAAAAGGACTAAAAGTTGAACCAGAAGATACCAGTTTAAATCAAGAAAGTGCCAAAGAATTAGAAGATAGTCCGGTAGAAAACGTCAGTGTCACCGAGACTGTTGAACTGTGTGATGACCCCAAAAACAAAGCAAAAAGGTAAGTCAGAGGGGCACGTGGTTTTCTGTTCACTTACCACTGTGGAAAGGATACCTTTGCGCATCTCAAACAGAATCCTCTTCGCCACGATGCATGGTGCGGGTTAGCTGCGTCCGTCACTGACGCCTGCGTGCAGCCCCGTGGACACAGATGAGGCGTGTCGGAAAGGGCGTGCTGGGGTGATGTCCTCAGAGACATGTCCAAAACGTGGCCATAGTCAGAAAGAAGTCACTTTGATCCAGTTTTTGTTTCCCTTGTCCTGCTGAGGTTCTGATATTGTCCTGGACCAGTCGTCCTTGACCCTCCCAGGAGGCCGGGGCTGCTGACGCGTCTGTGCCCCACTCACCTGCCGCATCGCCGACCAAGTCTGCAGGCTGGTGCCCGTGGTCGCCCCGTGTCGTGCCCCCCGCCCCGCCGCACCGTGAGGTCATCGGGGATGTATACCCACGGCCCGGGGCTTTCCTGCCCGAGGGAGCCCTGCCGTCCGGGGGCCGCACAGGCTGCGGTGGTGGGCGAGGGGACGGCCTCGCTGAGGGAGACAGCGTTCTCTCTCCGTGACACTTTGGTCCCCGTCCTCTGTTCCTCTGGAGCAGACTAATACTGTGCTCTTGGAGGAAAGGCCTGAAGCATGAGGAGCCTCAGGTGGCTGTCGCAGGACCGTGTAAGAGTGCAGGTGACCGAGGAGAGTGGGAGCCTGCCCAGAAATGCTCCACACTGGGGCCGCTGCTGGGCAGCGGAGTGTCCTCGGGCCTCTCAGGGCTGAGTGGTGGAAGGGAGGGAGCCCCGGGCAAGGCCCAGAGCAGGGCTGTGGCTGTGAGGGAGACGGCCGGGACCGCCCCAGACTGGGGGTGCGGCAGCGCAGGGGGGTTGGAGCCCGGCAGGGGCAGTCGGACACCACTCTGGTGCCTGGTGTTTGTTCCCGGTTTGCAGATGAGGAAACTGAGTCTCAGGTAAGTGACTTGCCCGGGAACAGAAGCTGGTAAGGGGAAAAGCTGGCATTTGATCCCTGTCCGCCTGACTCCTTGCAGGGACCCAGGTAGCTGGCTCCATGGGGCCTCGGTGACTTGGGAAGGTCCCTTGGGGGCTGCTTGGTGGTAGGCGGAGGGATGGGCCGGTGGGTGGGGCTCCAGACCCCTGCCCATCACCTTCATCTAGAGCCCGAGTTTTCTCATTTGTTTTCCATGTTACTTCTATGTGGGAGTTTATTGGAGGAGAAAAAGGGTTCTCATTGCTAAAAGTAAGACTTCGATTGAAGTGACTTCTTCACTGCTGAGGCGTGTCAGGCAGGCCTGGGGTATACACACACACACACACACACACTCTCACAAACATACACTCACACTGCTCACACACACACTACTCACACACTCTCACAGACTCACACACTCACAGACACTGGTGGTGTCCGGGGCCTTTCTGTGGGGCGCCGCGGCTGCTGCTCTGCAGCGCCCTGCCGCTGGCCGCCTGGCGGGAGGGTCTTCAGTAAGAGCCGTGTGAGCGTCCAGGGTATCTGTATATAAATACAGCTCTTAGACACGGGCTCCCGGGATGAGCTGCTGTCTTTCAGTGTAGGATAGAGGGTTCTCCAGGAACGTTATCCCAAGTTTCCTTGGGTGCATTTGCGGCATATCCGATGATATTTTGTAGTTTAGTGACTGTTCATCTGTAGCCTTTTATGCCATTATGTCCTTTTCGTGATGCTGTCAAAGCTGGCCGAAAACCACGTGCTGCTGTGTTTCCCCCTAATCGGCGCCTTTCACACGCGCGGGCAGGCCTCAGAGGGGGGGCAGAGCGAGTCGTCGTCTTTCTGCCGGTGGAGGGTCTGCCTTCAGTGTGTGCGAAACACAGCATCCGTGGAGTGCAGTAAAGTGAAGTATGCGTGTGTGAGCCGTTTAACTTAATTCCGACTCTAGGTTTCTGCCCGGAAAGGATTACGGCAGCATTATCATAACGCATTCCTTATGTGTAACCCGCCCTGTCTGTGCTGTAAGTACAGTTGCACTCAGCTTTGACCCTCAGACTCTGGTTGGCACAGCGTGGGAAAGGACAGGACAATTGAGGAGAGTTAGCGTGCTCGTGCAGCATCGAGGAGAGGAAGGTTCCGGCGTTGAAGCCGCCGGGGAAGAGGCTGTCGGCACTGGCTGGCGGCCCAGGAGAACACCCGCCCGGTCGGCGGAAAGGGCGTAGTGTGTTAGTAGAAGAAAATGCTGTATGTTGGACAAATTTAATTTCATGAAAAACACATTGCAGCATCTTTATTTTTCTCATTGCACTTTGCCGTGAAACTGCTGGAGTGTGTGTCATAGACCACATCAGGCTCAAGAAGTTGTGTTCGGGGGGATCACATCAATGCCAAGGCCGCTCGTGAGTGGGGCTGGTTGGCTGTGAGGTGGTAGGCATGCTTCAGTAAACGCAGTGTTAGTGCCCTGCTTTTTAACAGAAACACAGAGTAGAGAGGCTCAGAGGGGTCTCACTTTAGCTTGTGTTTCAACTCTTTTCAGTAAATTTCTTAATTTTTGTGTCAAATTTGATGCATAATGTGATTTCTAAAGTTACTCTTTAAAGCTGTCTGTTTAAGATGTGAAAAGTAACGTGGCCGTTAAAGTTAACGAGTTGACCTTTCAAGTCCATGCCATTCTTTGGAACCCTCCTGGGAGCAGAGGACAGTGAGAAGGGGTGCGCGATTACTGGATTACTTGGAATTCTTTCCTTTGTTTCCTAGTGTTCCTAAACCCAGAGGAAAGAAAGCCAAAGATACGAAAAAACCCGTCAAAGTGCCTGCTGAACCACAGACAATGGTAGGTCAGACTCGTGCTGACGTGTGTGCAGGGCCCTGGTGCCGAAGCAGTGTCAGCGGGGTGGTCCGCCCGCTTCTGAGAATTGGGCGCGTCCGGTGGGCCCTTCCGCGCCCAATGCAGAGGTGCGGGCCCGTCGACACTTTTCCTTGACAAATGTAGAATTTATATGTGTGCTGCTGTCATTTTTTTCCTTTAAAGTTAAAAGAAGCACACTGGACATACCGCTTTGTATGAACAGTTACTATCCTGTTCTCCATTACTTTGAAATCTAAAGCCGTGGTCTCGGCCACGTGGGGCACGCGGTTGAGGTCCCAGAACTCTGAAGGTCGATGGTGCTGCTTAGTGAGGCTTGACCTCCAGGCAGGGTCTCCTCTGTGGAGCCCGTCTGCCGGCTGGCCGGCCGTTTAGTTGAAAGGTCTTTACTTTTCAGCTGTTTGGTACTTAATCTCCACGTGAAAACGTACATCACTGCTCTTCGATAACACTTGCTTTCATTTATGGTTTCTTCTTTTCTCAGAGCGACGTTCTTTTGAGCTGCACAACCTGCCATAGTGAGTTCCCTTCCCGGAATAAGCTCTTCGAGCACCTGAAGGCCACCGGTCACGCAAGAGCACCTTCGTCGTCACCTTTAAACGGGGTCACCAGCGGTCGGAGCAAGAAGGAGAAACGGAGAAACAGATAGACGCTCTGCCGACCCGTGCTCTTCCCACTCGTCTCTAGACTTGGAAACCAAAACTGAACTGACGTCATCTAAAGAGTTAAAATTCCAGTGGTCTGCAGCTTATTGCATTGTAGAAGATTATTTTTATCTTGTGAAAACATTTTCTGTTTAATATATATATTTTTAAACATTTCATTAGTGATGGAATTTTACTTCTGCCTCGGGAACCGACTTGAATGTCTCAGAGCAGGTGCCTGTTGTGAGTGCCCATGCTTGACTCCGTCGTCTCGTGTGGACAGAAATGTACAGGGAGAATTAAATTATTTTGAACATACAAATGCCCCTTTATTTTTATACTGTGGATTTCCCATGAAGTATCTTTATGTGATTCGGTGCTTTTTTTCAGTGACTCCAGATCGTTTTAAAATCGTCACAGGTTTTTTTTTTTCCCACCTGATACCATGGCTCCAGTAACCCTCTGAGTAACCTGCTGTTGATTACTGTGTTTTTTCCCCTCAAGGACAATGAAAGGAAGACACGAATTGAACATCTATGGTTGTGTTTCAAGAATAATGTCTCTCCAGGATATCATTATGTTCATTTAATTTGAAAATTTTCTGGTAATTATCAACAAGATGCATCTTGGTTTTCCGCTCTGATTGGAGTCGGGGAGGTGGAGGCAAACCCGTTTATCTGGCGCGTCCTCCTTAGGCACCGTGACAGCTGCGCGGCGTGGTGGGCCGAGGTGGCGGATGGCTTAGGGTTTATACCGACACTTTAACAAGGGACAGTCCGCCTTGGGGTTCTTTCTCCACTACTTTCAGAAACTTATTTTTCACATCATTCAGTGGAGAAAAACTTTCTTAATGAAAGAATTTTTAACACAGCTGATGTTTATGCCATCTGTTCACAGTAGCAAAGATGAGTATTAAATCCAAAGAAATACGGAGAATGATTATAAGTGAGTGTGGTCATATCCAGTAATGAGTTCATTTTTAGGATAGATTAACTAGGCATTTCTTTTTATTGGTCTTAAAAATAACTTCTAAACTCACTAGCTTGAAATATATACTTTCCATTCAGTGAAGTTGTTTTTCTCCAAACACCCTTGAATCTTCAAAGTTAGGAATCTTCAGTCATGCATGACCTTGAAAACGTGAGTCCCTGATGTGAAGGTCATTTCAGAAAGCCTCCTGTGTGGTGTTCATGTGGATCATCCTGTGACCGACTTGCGAATGTGCTTCTGTACCTTAGTTTTCAAATGTTTCCTGTGTCATTTAGAGATACATATATTTTCTTTACCTTCGTCCCTTCCTGTGTCTCACTTCCTCCTGATCGTCTTCTCCCCTCTTTCTTGGTCCCCTCAGGGGAAGTACTAGTCAGTTTTCTGTCTTTGGTCTCTTCTTCCCGGGCTCCATCTGAACACTCCGTCTTCCACTCATCCGAGCGAGATGAACTGCCCATAATTATGAAATAGGAATACTAGTGGATAGGCAGGTGTGCTAGTCACATGTTATTATACAGTGGAAGTACGAAGTCATCTTGAAGGACAGAGTGTCCTGCGAACGCCCTTTCACCCTCCCTTGCTTTGCGTTCAGCCATGCAGGTGTTTCGCTTGTTTCCACTTCCTGTGAGGTGCCGTCAGGGTGGCCGGTCACTTTCATTCTGATCGACAAAAACCAACCATGATTCTTAAGGGATCTTCATCAGTTGTGATTGGAAGTCAAATCTCACTTCTAATCCTGTGTGTGTGATGCTGCAAAATCATTCGGCTTCTCTGACCTTCATTTCCTTTATCTCTAACTCAGTTGTTAGTATAATGACATTGTCCCCGTTTATCATCCAGGATCATTCTGAAGGTCAAATGAAATAGTATATATGGAAGCGCTTTTTGAGTACAAAAGCTTTATACAGAATGTTGAGTTTCAGTGAGTTAAATCTTTTTCAATTAAAATATTTGTAGACAGAAGTGTACATGTTGAATTAAATGTGCATTAAGTTTTATAGGAATATCCTTTTTCATCTATTTCTGAAAAGGAAAACATTATGTCAAAGGTAAAAAGACTGTTGTTGGCGAATCACAGGTATTTGATTTCACTTGTCTAAGGAAAACCAGAATATTCTGAAGTACCTAAGCACGCATTTGACACTGGTCTCATTGAAGGGGAAACCCCATTTGCTCTCCCTAGTTCCTTCAGGGCTGCCACAGCTGGGTGCTCTGGAAAGTCCGGTGAGACTTTCCCTCTTTCACAGCAGGAGCAGCATCCCCAGCAAGGTCACAGCACCACAGTACACCTCTGCAGAGCAGGAGCCGCCATGAACAGAAAACAAGCCCCAGACCGGGGCGGGGGGGGGGGGGCGGTGGTTGTTCACAGTACACACAACTGACAAAGGGTGAGGACCTGCCTGGAATACTTTCCTTTTATTTTTTTAATTTTTAAAAAAGATTTCATTTATTAATTTTTAGAGAGGGAAGGGAGGGGGAAAGAGAGAGAGAGAGAGAGAGAAACATCAATGTGTGGTTGCTGGGGGCTGTGGCCTGCAACCCAAGCATGTGCCCTTACTGGGAATTGAACCTGTGACACTTTGGTTCACAGCCTGAGCTCAATCCACTGAGCTATGCCAGCCAGAGCGAATACTTTCCTTTTAAAGAACCTCCTACAGATCAGTGGCCAGACGATAGCCGTGCATCAGTACAGCATTTTACAAGGTTTTTGGTGTCAAGACGCCTCTGTGCTCTTTGAGAACCCAGAAGAGGTTTTTGTTTTTGAAGATTTTATTTATCTTTAGAGAGAGAAGGGAAGGGAGGGAGAAAGGGAGGAAGAGAAACATTGATCAGTTGCCTCTCACATGCCCCCTACTGGGGACCTGGCCTGGAACCCAGGCATGCACTCTGACCGGGAATCGAACCGGCAACTTTTCTGTTCGCAGGCTGGCACTCAGTCCACTGAGCCACACCAGCCAGGGCTAGAGTTTTTACATGGGTAGGTTATATCTATTAGTATTTACTTATTACAAATTAAAATACTAAAGCTAAAGAATTTATTTAAAAAGTAATACATGTTAAATGACAGTTATGGAAAACAACTATTTTTCAAAAACAGTTTTAATGACAGGCTTTGTTGTGCAATTTTGAAAATCTCTTTAATCTCTAGCTTAATAGGAGACAGATGGATTCTCATCTCTATTTCTGCAGTCAGTGTGTTGCTCTAAGTTTGGTTAAAGTATATGAAGAAAACCGAGGTTCACAGGATAGGAAACAGAAAAGGGCATGACCTTGTCTCCCCACCACTGTCCCAGGTTCCCCGGGGTCCTCAGACCATGCTTAGAACGACTGCATTTGAAGAAGGGTTAGAACACACGAGCAGAAGAAGCCTAAATGGTCCAACATTGCGGAAAGGTGGTCATTGTCGCCGACGATCAGGAAAGCTGGGTTCTGTCATCCTCTCCTGCTTTCCGATGGCAAAAGGCAAAGAGCCTCCTGAGATCAAGTGTTGGTGAGGACGGAGGACGGACGGGGAACACATCGATTTCTTCGGGAGTGCAGTGGGTTCCGTTTGACACTTGACGGCAGCTGAAGATGGTGAACACTAGGACCCAACACCTCCTGCCGTCCGACCCCTCAGAGTGTGTGCTGCAGCAGAGAGGCCTCCGCTGGGAGTGGGGCAAGGGGTGCAGCCCCGAGGGCCCACCTGCTGCATGCGAGTCTGTGGGTCCAAAGGTGTCTTGGGAGGGTCACGTGCTCCTTAAAGCTTGAGAAGCAGCACTGTTGGGACCCCGAGTATATGGGTGCAGGGAGACTCACACAGGTGTTCACAGCTGGATTGTTTGTATCTAGGAAAAGCGGGAAATACCCCGAATGTCTCTGAACAAGAACATGGATAAATTGTGGTCTATTTATAAAATGGCAAACAGCCAAGCAGTTAAATTAGCGAACTTGACCTGCAGGATCAGTGGCCAGCCCTTGGGAAAATACTGAATGAGCCGTCAGAAGATGAAATGGGTGCCATTTATGCAGTGTTAAAAAAAGTTTGTAAAGAGAAACTACAGAAGCATCAATGGGAAGCCCATTCAGAAAAGTAATTCTGGAAAGGGAGAGAGGGAGGCAATGGGTGTCAGCAAAAGCTGACGTTCTGAAAAGTGCAAGTTACAACGTTCCACTTCCGGCACCAGAGGGCAGACGAAGGGCTTCCGCTCCGCTGTGTGCCCAGCATGTTCCAGAAGCACATTGTGGCAAAGGCCGCTACTCGTCTTTCTCAATATCCATTCTCCCCCTTTCTTCAGATTCTGATTTTTAGCTGGGTGCAGAGCCACCTGGAATGTTGTCACCTTCCCAGCTGGTGGAAACTGCCTTGCAGGGCTGTGACCCTGACTGTCAAAGGCTCATTGGAGCATCTGCCCAGATACTCGGGGCGAGACTGTGGGCCCTGCACCATCAGCGCCCTCCCAGACACAGGCGCTGTCTGAAAACAGGGAAGGCTCAGTTTGCCCTTCGCCCTGCTCGCCGTTTGAACACCACTTAGAGTTTCTAGCAATTTCTAAAAATGAAAGGTCATAGTATCTCTTAGCATTTAGATAAAATGGGATATAGTTTATATATGGGTGCTTTTCTTACTTTCAAGTTTAGTAAGAACTCCTCCTTTTCTGAGTCCAAAGGTCACAGTGGTCACAGCATGTTACGGAGCAGAACCTCCAACCGTTTCCTCATCCATACGGTCAGTGGGAGGTGCAGCAGAAGATGCCTGAACCGGACGCCTGGACTGGCAGTGGGGAGACCCCCTGGGTGACCGCAGGGTCCTGGGCCGGGATTGTCTACCTGCAGTTCCGGAGGAGCCAACAAGCGTGGTGACATTGAGGCCTCCTGGCCAGCAGCCCACATCCCTCCCCCCCATGTCCACCTGTCGCAGCCACTTGGGTGCACTTGGAAGCTGTTTCATTGGCCACCTTGTTTTCAGGACGCCTCTGTGTGCACCGGTTTCATTGTTCTCATTTCCCACAATGCTCCTCCCGTTCTGACCGGCCAGACCGACAGGGAGGGAAGCCCCGCGTGCGTGCGTGCGTGCGTGTCTGAGAAGCTGTGCTCTTGGATTGCTGCAGGGCTGCCAGGGACAGGGTGCCCCGTTCTGCTTTGGAGTTGCATCTTCATGGTTCAGAAAGGGGCGGCAGTTTTTCAAAACCTGATTTCACTCTAGTTTGAAAATTGTGTGTTTTAATAACGGAATCAGAAAATTCTCTTTGGGAAGCATTCAGAATAATGCAAAGAAGACAAAGTCTGCCTGGCATCCCCATGCACATGGCCACATTGTCAAGTTCACTGCCAAGACCATTCCTAGGCAGACACTTTTCAAGAAACAGCCTGTCCTCTGGGTACTGTTTTGTAACTTGCTTTTCCACTTAATATGTGCATGTCCTGTGTCAACTTAGATAATTGGTATCATTTCAAAGGCCGCAGGACCTGATTTTATATAGGGTTGGTATATGTGGCGGTCATTTAGTTTTTTCACTATGATATTTTAATGGCTCTCCTTACACAGTCCTTTATGCTGCTTACGTTTTATTCCCCCGCTTGGGAGGAATCCCTAGAAGGGGAAGGGTTGCGTCAAAGGGACTGCTGTGCCCAGTGTCAGTCCGCAGGGCCAGCTGGACGGCCCACGGGCATTCCAAGGCATTCTAGTCGCTCAGCTCATGTCCGCAGGACAAGGCCAAGCTGTGAGTCGTCCACAGCCCATCCTAAATGTAAACTTAAACTTGCCTATGCTGGAAAGAATGGAAAAGCGTTTTGAGGGATGCTGTTTTCCTCTTAACAACAAATAGGCTTGTGCTTGCTTATCTGCAGGGAGGGCGGGCTGCCCTCTCTGGGACGGCCGCTGTGGGCCTTTGGTCGGGGACAGGGTGGGGGGGTGGCAGGTCCTGTCCCGCTGCCTGGGGCGGGCAGCTGAGAGCCTCACGCATCGTCACACCCTCCACGACCAGCCAGATGTTCAGGCCTTTAATGTAATTCCCGGTTCTTTCATTAATATAGATGACAAAATAGTTTAGTCACATCAAGCTTTCATCTGTCCATTTTCGCTGCTTTTTGGACCTTCACTGAAAAAAAAAAGGAACAAGTTCGCATCAGCCAATCTTGGAAACCCCTTCCGAGGGCTGGGCCTTGGTGTGCTTCCTGCTGCCGCTGTTCAGCGGAGCCGTCTCGGTCCTCAGGGGGTCTGGCCAGGCAGGTGGGCGAGGCCGCTGCGTGGGGAGGGTGGGGGCTCAGAGTCAGAGTCCTCCCGCCATGAAAGTTTTTACAGACTCAGTAGTTCTGCGTGCACCTGCATCTGCTTTCTCTCCCACCTTGAGTTGTGGGTTCGGGTTTTTGCTTTTTTTTAAAGATTTTGTTTATTTTTAGTGACAGGGTAAGAGAAGGAGAAAGAGGGAGAGAGAAATTGATTGGATCAGTTGCCTCTGTGGACGATGCCCAACCCACTGAGCCACGCCAGTCAAGGACTGAGTTCTGTTTTGACATGAGCAGTGCTGATGCACACGGCGAATCCCTGGGAGGAGTTTGAGGAGGAATTTGAGGAGGAATTCCCGTCTGTGTACAGCCACTTGTTAGCTGAGCTGTGTGTGTGCCTGGAGCTAGGCCCCGGGGGAGCAGCTGTGGTGCTCTGCCCTGTCCTCTGCAGATAATTAATGCAGATAATTAATTCAGGGCCCCTTGCCTCCCCGAGGCCAGTGCCCTCAGATGGCTGGAAGTGGGCCAGAGAGATGGTCTGGGACACAGTCCCCAGGCCCTCATCCCAGTGGCTCCCCCCTGGGCCTCTCCTGGCCTCCCCGGGACCTGCTGCCCATGGACC